GGCCGGCCCGGCGACGGCGCGGTTGAATCGCTCGGTAAAACGCGAGGAGCGGCCGCGAATTTTACGCACGAGCGGGAAAGTGAATTACATCCCGTGAATCTTCATCCTCTCCCGCGGGATTCGATCGCGTATTAGTATCGCAGCGGGGACGCCGCGCCGATTTAACGTCGCGCTGAATATGCAACGCCGAGACGCAACGCGCTCGGTGAGCACGTTGAACTCGCAATTTCGTTAACCGGGCGATTTGCATCCGCGCGTCAACTTGGCGACGCGCGAGGCGACACACAAAAATCGCCGAGTCGCCGGGAAACTCGCGAGATGGAAGTTCGCGGCTCCGCTTGTTTCCGGGCTCGGTAATGGCCGCGATTTAATGGAAGTTACGGGGACACGGAGCCGGATATAAACCGCAATCCGCGCGGTCTTCGGCCATCCCGACAGCTCCTGTCACGTCGTTCCCCACGTCTCTACGTGACGTGTCTCCCTGTACGATACTAGCGGAACTTGCGGTCCGTTTTACGGAGCTAAAGCGATTTGCCTCGTCGACGTCGTCGCAAGGATTAAACTTCTTCGCCCACTTGGAAGTAACCAGCGCCAATCGTCGTAGTCCACAATGGGCGGTAGGAGTGTGCTCGTAAAAGATAAGAATAAGAATCTGACCAATTATATTCGAATGTAAGGGGAATGATCGATTGTGATTGGTTCATTTCTTACTCTTATTTCGTATGAACATTTTCCTACTTTGTCCTGCTTTGTCCGCCCATTGGTTTATTTAGCAGTTTCCTCTTCAACGTACGCTGATTTTCGATCTAGCCGGCTCCGTCGGCGCGGCGTAATGCATAATATTGCGGATTTATTCTCCATTATTATTCGAAAATACGGGCCACTCGTGACACGTTAAAAATCGACTCGCGTTACATAATAACGCGCTGTTTTACGTAATACACGGTTCCCATGGCGCGAGACAGCCACGGCCGTAAATATTCGCGCTGACACGAGAGGAGGGGGAGGGGGGAGGAGGATCTTTCACTCGGCAGAAGTGGGATTTCTCTCGCGCGGGCGACAAAAAGGGCGCCGTATTCCACGCAGTTGCCGTAAGTGCTAAACGCGGAAACGAGCGCGCGCGTGCTTCAACCCGAGCGCGACGGTTTTAGCCGGAGGTCCATTTTCCGCGAGCGAATGATCCCGTTCGTTCGAGAGTCTAACGACTCGCCGAGAGCGAGTTTCCGCATCCGCGCACCTGTGTCACGCCGAAAGGGTCTCCTCCACCTGGCCGGGGGTGGCCGCCCGCGATATATCTCGCGAAGGCGAGAGAGCCCCGGCATCGATCTCTCGAGGAACCGACTGCGACACGAGTTCCAATTACCGCCGCGCGGAATTGCCCTTGTTTCATCCGGACCAGACCCGGGAATCTTCCCTGCAACGCGCCGACCGAGGGCCGAAGTCGCGGTATTGATATTCCGTCGGAAACGGCTTGATACGCGTCCCGATAATCTTCGGGAACGCTCCAATACTGCCGGGCTCGTATTGTGGTTCGAAATACACGTCCGCGATTTGTAACGATTAATCCGACCCAGATGAGGAAGAAGAGAGAGAGGGAGAGAGAGGGAAAACAACGTTTTTCGAATTTTCTGTCAGTATTTCGACATCTCGTCATGTTCCCAGTATATATATGTGTCTACCTCAACTCTGTTTCAAATTAACATTTATTATTTAGACAGTGAAATAAGTATATGCATAAGAACGCAATTTTGTTTGATAAATATTAAATTCATGAGAGATCCCTTGTGCGATGCATTATTAAAAACACAACGCTAAATGGGCCACACTCAAGAATATCGAGAGAGCTTAAAAAGCTGATCCTAAAAAGCCATGCGGAATTTCAAAATCGATATGTTCGTGTGTCGTAATTTAACTAATTTCTGTGCCGGTTCTCGTGAACGAGAACACACGCGAGGAGAACGGGCAACGTTCTGAAAAATTCCTTCGCGCACGCAGCGCCGATATTAATCGCGCCGAGGTGCGCGCCGCAATTTCCTCGTGTCGCTCAGTCGCGAATGAAAATTATCCGCTCCTCGAATTCCCCGGTCGCGCGTCCTCGCGCCATTTATTGAAACTTTAAACAGCGGTCGCGAGCAGCATTTTGTTCGCCGAGCGTGGCGGACGAATACGCTCGCACACGCGAATTCACGAACGATTCAGGGGTGCGATTAAGGGCCTCCGAGGGGCCGCGCGAGGGGTTGGCGGACCGCTCGTTTGTCTTAATAAAGTGCGTCGAAGCCACGCTCTCCACGGTGGTTGACTTATGGCCAGTCATCTGGCGGGGCGGCTCTCCTCATGGGGAATCCCAGGCCCTTTTTTCCCCTCTCATCCGGCCGAAAACGGCAGTCCCGTTCGCTCTACCCGATATTCACCCCCTGGCGCCGCCACCGCGCCGCCTCTTCCCTTCTCCCCCCCCCCCCCCCCCCCCC